ATTTCATGGAGCAGAGTAAAAATTCCCCACTCAGTCACTCTAGATCACGATTCCAAGCCAAATTTGAAAGTAGAAATTTCAAGCAAGAGCTTTTTCAAAATTTCAAAGCGGGGTTGCATAACCTCGGGGGGCTACGCCAAGCTACGTAACTAACGGACTAAATAGGCCGAAAATATGCTGAGGTTTGGTACAGCAAACGAAAGTATGAAGCTAACGAGCCATTCAGATTCAGATGGACTGGAACGATAGGAAAATCCCTTGAGTGTTCCTTCTTGAGCAAATCGTTGAGCCAGGAAATGATAAGGTGTTAGTTCTTGATAGATCTAAAACGAAACACCCGAAACACACCCTGATCAACCAACTACTGCCCACGTTCCCTGCACTAGCAGTCCGCGCTGTGTAGGTTACGTGAAGTAAGAAAGAAGTAGAAAGTAAATGAAAAGATAAAGGGGAATGAAAGTCATTAAAATGAAGGATAACACCAAAGAGTGAAGATAATGACAGAATAAGAACTGAAAGTTTGAAGATGGATATGGTCAGGAGAAGGGAAAGGTTTCGTGTTGCCACCCAAGAGCGTCTAACTGACGCTCGAAACCCTTAACCGTAGGTTCACTGACTACATTTTCTGGAAGCGAGTTCCAGCGCTCGATAACTCTACGCGATAACCGAGTTTCCGCCCTGATCCCGTCAGAACGCGGCTTGTGTAGCTTCATGGGATGACCGCGAAGACAAGGCAACCTAGCCGGGCTAAACAGCCAGCGCAAGTCCGGCCCAACCTTCCCTGTTAAAATGCGGTAAGTAAGGATTAGGTCTCCTCGAAGCCGTCGGTAGTGCATTGAATACATACCCAAGCTAAGTAGACGCTCGGGGTACGATTGCCCCCGTAACCCCTCGACCAATTTGGTACCTACTCTCAAAACCCTCTCAAGCTCCATTTTGTCCCGAACAAGGCAGGGCGCGCAAGCCTGGACGCAGTATTCCAGATGGGGCCGAACGAAAGCTGAGAATAGCTTCACAAATATGTCGGCAGTTAAGACCCCGAAAGAACGGCGTATTAACCACAACATTCTGAAACCCCTACTAGCGGCCTTCTTCCAGTTGTCACCAGAATGCAAAGACGAGGAATGAACGACACCTAGATCTATCTGGTTGGAGACAAGGGGGAGTTCGACCCCACCGAGTACGTAGCTCGAAGGCGGGAAAGTTGCTCCTATACGAAGGACGGAACACTTAGCCTGATTTATGGGCAGTAGCCACAAAGTAGACCAGTCCCAGAGTCTGTCCAGTGCACGCTGTATGGCCTCAGAACCCCCAGGAACATTTACAACATTCCACAGCTTAAGGTCATCAGCAAACAATAAGGATGAAACCCCAAGCTCTCCAGGGAGATCGTTTACGTAGATAGAGAACAGCATCGGTCCAAGGACCGAACCCTGTGGGACACCGCTAAGGACCGCTTGCTTAAAGGATAAGCTGCGACCCACACGTACACACTGCTCTCTTCCCTGCAAAAACGCAGATACCCAGTGAAGGGCGCGGCCAGATACGCCGTAGGACCTCAGCTTATGTGATAGCCTCAAGTGGGGTACTTTATCAAATGCTTTCGAGAAGTCTACGAAAAGCACATCCACTACGTGGCCATTGTCCACTGCCTCGGCCCAAGCTTCACGAGCAACCAACAAATTCGTCAAACACGAAAACCCCTTCCGGAATCCATGTTGTGCACTGCTGAGCAGATTAAATCTATTCAGGTGACATTCCAACGAATCTCTCACCAGCTTTTCAAGCAGTTTGACCACGACGCTAGTCAGACTAACTGGCCTATAATTGGCTGACAGACTCCTGTCGCCATTTTTGAAGATAGGACAGATGACAGCCTCCTTCCATTCGGAAGGTAATGTACAGGTGTCAAGTGATTTCTGAAACACCATCGTCAGCGGTCCACTTAGTTCCCCCGCCAACTCATGCAGAAGCTTCGGGTGAATTGAATCAGGTCCAGCCATGACTGATGAAAAGTAAACATGAGCTAAATGCTTTCATCTAAACTTCCGCAAGTAACTGGCTACCGCTTTTCATTATAATGCTCCTGCAATGTTAAATATATTAATGTAGGATTATTTTCTGCCCCCACCGTCAATGTGTACTTTAAGCTAACCTTAATTTATAGTTACATTTTTTATTTATTTACCCATTTAAATAAAATTTCAAATACTTTTGTCTAAAGTAGCGTGGTTATAAACAGTTTTTATATTACTTCAAGGGCTAGGTTAACTTGTTTCTAACATTCTTTTAGCTTTTATCTAGGCAATAAGGTGTTTCCATGGTTTTACCTAATATCCATTTGTTTCAACCGTACGTTTAATCCTTCAGTATAACTACCAATGAATGCTTTGCTGCTTTTGAGAAAGACTACTTCAAAATGTTTCCCGACAGTCGGTTATATCCGAGTTACCGGGCGGTGCAAAGAACAAGCACAAACTAACCGCGCAAATTCGCAATTATATGACGTAGAGTAGTTAAACACACCCGCTGTTATTTTTATTTTTCGGAAAATATAAGTGCTAGTAATAAAGGGACGCTGCTTGTGTTCGTGTATTGTTGGACTATGTTAATATCTATGCGCTTTAGGGCAGACGCAGATGCTCCGACTTTACCGTGCTATACTAGTGGACATTTAAGTTGAAAATTATCATCTCTTTGTCAATGATATTGCGTGCCGGACTAAAACCTAGCAATTACTATTTCACAACGCTTCTTCAGCCAGCGTGGTGACGAACATCTACCTTACATCCATGAACGAACAGGCGCTTGGCCTTGATTATCTACACTCCTCCTACCTGGCCGTGCCTCGCCACCGTGAAAGCGTATTGGCGCTAACCTTTCCTGCTGCTCGGCATCTGGTGTCCCTCCGTGCGTCCAAGTTGCTTAACCACACCACGTTCCCACGCAATTTGTTGCCTTTTGTCACGACACTTCATGGCAGGAATTTTCCATATTTAGCGATTTTCCCCATTGGGATACATCTGACATTGCTGCTGCAAGGCACTTTGCGCGTGCCTGACAGATGATCTAAAGGGCATTTTTATGCGCATAATACTTATTCTTTCACCTCTGCAGACCCATGCTCAAGTCCGTTACGTAAGAATATGCCACTGACGCGATTGATCCTTCCAATTCTTCTGCGGACCAGCAGCTTTGGAAATATTTGTTACAGCCTATTTAGCAATCCTAATTCCATTGGACATTGTGGATGGGTACGGGTGCAGACCATCACGCACCCTAAAGCGCCGGAATAGCACGGCCTAGATAGTGCTCTTAGCCAACGGGAGCGGCAAGCAAGGTGGTAGTTAATCGGCAGAACGACGGTAGATGTGTAGCATCACCGTTGAAACCCAAAGGCTTTTCTACTTGTTCCTTGGCAAGCTATAATCACCGGTATGGTGGTTGATGAAACCTCCACTCGCCTAAATGTGGCGTTGGTACCAGCACTACGAGAGCGGAAACGGTAGAGTTTCTTTCTTGAACACAACAAGCAGGAGAGTTGTACGGCAATTACATTGTCGAAATAAGTAAGCTGGCGGATGAGGCATATACTAGAAGTGACAGGACGGCTGGTGCTGAAGTGTTTTCTATCCAGCTGCTCCAAAGAATCACTGATCCAGACACTATGATGAACTGCATTGATACACCTCATACTGAGCTGGAAGTGGTGCTACGCACTGCTGCTGTACCTAGCCGTTCTGCACCACAAAGATTTATGCATTTGTTGAGACTTGTGTCAGCGATTCTTTACATGGGTTGCTGCCCCAGTGGTTTTCCTGACGTGTCTTGAGGTTTGGCCGTTTGCTCGAACGACATTCATTACCCTGCTCATGAAAC